GTTTCACCCCCCCCCCCCCCTGATTTTGCAGTGATTTATGTACTGACTGTTTATATTAGTTGATCGACGGAGAGTATTTTGATTTTCGTCCGTCTAAAAATAATATTATTCTAACTGCTCGTATAAATCAATAAAGACCGAAAGCCATAATAAAAAGACATGAATGGAGCTTGACGGCCACAAGGACAAAGCGTGTAAGTCATTGAAATGATTTATCAATTCTTGTTGTATTGTGAATTTGTGTTGCAACTGACTATCAAGATTCTTTAAAACACGAGTATTATAATAATCTCCAGTAAGTAAACTTAAACAAATATAGCTTGTTGAAAACCGTGTTGCTATAAATTTCCCTGAGTGACAAAGGTTTTTTTGGAGATTTAACGGTTTATTCTATTAGTAAATTCTGGGGAAGCAACTCTTTGGAATAAGCACTTATATCGATCACCATTAAAGTTTTTTAGACCTGTATGTATTCCGCTTTCAGGTATGAATTTATCAAGAAAATATGGTATATCTGTATTAAGTACAGGGTGGCAATGAAGAAAGTCAAGTGTATTTCTTCATAATGGTCTTCCTTGTAAAAGGTGATGGCACTATTTCATTGAACATTCAAGGAACAATTGCCTTTTAGAACAATATGCACATTTTATGCTCGAGTTGATATCTGCATTTTATGCGATTCATACCTTATTTTTATTGGCATAACTGTCGTTCCAATTGAAGTGTTCCTCAAATATTGATTCAATATTTTACCTCGGGCTGACCAATTCATTTCATCAAGATATTTGTTGTGTTGGTGTAATATACTCAGGTGAATAAGATGCTTGTGTGATGTTACTCTGAGTGTATATCCACACCGGGCAGGCTTGAAAAATATGCCTGGCAACGGTGGGATTCGAATCTACGACCTTTGGAATACTAGCCCAATGCTCTGCCGACTGAGCTACGCGGTCAGGTCGGTTCGAGTATGCGATATTTCGGAACTGTTTCTAGTTCCTTCGATATCAGTGCATTCTAATAATCATGATATTTGCTGTGTTGGTGTAATGTACTCAGGTGAATAAGATGCTTGTGTGATGTTACTCTGAGTGTATATCCACACCGGGCAGGCTTGAAAAATATGCCTGGCCACGGTGGGATTCGAATATACACTCAGAGTAACATCACACAAGCATCTCATTTCATCAAGGTCCTCGAGATATTCATACACTTCCTGTGAAAGAGCCAATTCCAAGTTTTTGACCATTTCTGGTCACTTCCTTTCTATTTATGATTGGTTAATTGCACAAACAACAAAGTGATTGGTGCATTCAAACTATTCAACAGGAAGTTTACAATTACACTAGGGAGTGTATGAATATCTCGAGGAACTTGATCAAATGAATTGGTCAGCCCGAGGTAATGTATTGAATCAATATTTGAGGAACACTTCAATTGGAACGACAGCTAGTAAAGAATTATTAAAAAAAATATTTTATTCAAAAAAAGATTTTCCAAGATAATTATATAATTTCATTTAGTAATAAGGATAAATAATATATTCAATTTCAAATCACTACAAAATTTATTCTTTATTTTAAAATACATACAACAACAATTTAATTTAATAAGCTGCTCAACCAATTCTATGCATGTCACTCCCCACTTGATGGTCAGCACCTACAGTAATTATGCTAGCCTAATTTGTACACTAACACAAATGGTCAAAATAAATGGAAATGTAGCAATCTTGGCTTAGCTGAACAGGCCAAAACGTGTACAAATAACTTCAAGTAGTTAGCAGAAATAAGGAATAAATATTTATTGTATTGCAGGACCCGCGGAGCGTATTAGAGAGTGGGGGGGGGGGGGCTAAAGGGTGAGGTTTAATTAATTTAGAAAGTTTCATTTAGATTTCTATTTCTGTCAAAAAAAGTGGGGGGGCTAAAGCCCCCCCAGCCCCCCCGTCTCCGCGGTCCCTGTATTGTGCTGTTCACTTTCCAGTTTAAGTTAAACTTTAATACAGTCCTACTTGATGCTATCCAACTTGAGAATCGATGTGAAATGGTCAAGTTATGTGGTAAATACAGATCATGCGTGAGACAAACAGGCCAGAATTGTTATTTGCACAATAATTGGGATTTTGTAAAAATGACATTTACCAGTTGCTATTGGATTTTGAATATCAATATTAACTATAAAATTGACACACAAGGGAGATAGACATACATATAATTGATTGAGACAAAATTAATATAATTATTTATTAAAGATTATTATTATTAATTAAAGATTATTTCATTGGACAACTACTGATTTTGGAACACAATGTTGTGGCATCCATGCCAGTGGTGCACTGCACCTTGTTTGGCACCTTCCCGATTTTTCTGTGGGCACACAATTTTTGTGTGCCCCTTCTTCCCGCACACCCAGCATAGCATTCCTGTTTAATAGTAATCAACAATAAATGTACACAACTGTACTTTCATATTTCACAAACTGTGTAATTGTGAATGATGATGTCTTACAATTGAAAAAAAATCTGTGTAATTTTAATGAATACAGGAAATGAGCATAACAGTCAAGCACTAGGCTAGTAGTTGTTTCAACAACTTTCAAAACCTTTGTAACTTAAGCTAGTTACCTGTGCAAAATTCCTACTGTGATGACAGAAACTTTGATATTGTTAACTAGCCTGAGGAGACTGTAGTAATTTAAACATACGTACTGGCATGACATTCTTTTGCATGATGGCCTTTTTCTGATCTTCCTGGAATGATAAAAGGCAAACTGTTAAATTAGCATTTTAAGAAAGAATAGGTTGTGTTAGGGTATTTCTCAGTGCCGTGTTTAATAATTTATCGCTTCATGTTACTGTATTTTTTATGCTGCTAATATTGTTCAAATTTATGGGTCGCTTTTTTACCTCTTCTTCGCTCTTTTTCCATCTAAAACAATTAATAAAACATGTATTTGCACTTTTGCACTGTAGTACACCAATAAATAGCCAAGTTACAAATTGTCAAATACAAGGATTCACTAACATAAATTGTATTGTACGTTGCTTGCCAAGAAATTTCATGAATTCACAAATTTACGCAATCCATTCAATACAGCAATACAGCAGGCGTTAAATTATTACAAAAAAACGAGATTATACGAGCCTTACCCATGTGAGGACAGGTCCTTTCTTTCAGCAGATTTTTGGCAACCAGGAATTGAACAAAAAGTTGGCATGGTTGCAAATGTCTCGCTTTAATACAAGAAAATTTCCGACCGAAATTTGAATTTACCTCCTTCTGCTTTAAGCAAATTGAAAGGGGGG